AAAAGAAAATTCAAAATGAAAATCTGGCCCTGAATGAAGACTGGCTGCCTTCGGGTGGTTCCTACACTAGGGGGACAGGTGGAAAGTGGCAACACTGCGGTCAGAGTTACCACACAGGTGGACAGGTCCCAACCCCATATCCAGTGGTGGTGGGGGAGGGGCTAAGAGAAGCTTCTCAAAGGGGACCCAGAAAGTTAAGTTCCCAAGTTACCCTCTTTTAACTGCGTGTTTGTGGAGAATGATGGTAGTGACAACTGCTTCAGCCCCATGGCACCTGTTGGGTCCAAGTCACCAGCCTCTCTTGCTTTGCTTACTGCAGTGCCCCCAGTGGGTCACTGTTCTCTTCTACCATCCAGTCTCTGATTAAAGCCCTCCAATGGCATCTCTTAGGTCCTCACTCTGCCCAAGAATTCCTCTCCAGCTTCGCCTCTTCCCCTTCTCCCTCTGGTTTGCCATCCTCTCACCTCATGCGTGTCTTTTTGTATGGCTTCAATTTGCCAAGTCCAGACCTACCTCAGGGCCTTTGCATACCTCTGCCTTTCCCTCAGTTTTCCCCACAGTATAAAGGTCTCATTTTAAATGTCACCTCCTTACAGCGATCTATTCTCATCACTCTAATAGCTTACCTGGCAGTGATCTAGCACGTCTTTTATTTTATTCTTATCATTTATCAGTATTGGAAATTGTCCTGTGTATGATTGGTTTTCTTGGCAACTGTATCAATTGTGAGTACACCAAACCCTGGGTTCTGTTGTGTCTTATTCACTATAGCATTTCCATCATCTAGGGAAGTTTTGGCCATTCAGTAGAAAATGAATAAATTTTTTTGACAAATATTTGATGAGTGAACAAAGGTAAAGTGTCTTTCCAAAAGTCACTAGGCCATTGAATGATGAAACTAGGCCTAGAGCTCAGATCTCAACCTGGGTGTGTGGCCACCTCCTTAGCCTTAACATCCCTTCTTCCATGCTTTCAAAGCTCAGAGCATCCACTGCCCTAGTGAAATAAAATGAATGCTCAGCCTCAAAGGAGAAGAAATCATGAGATGCAAACCAAAAGAGGATCACATGTGTCAGGAGTTACTGTGTAAAGCTGAGGGTGTTCTGGATTGATTTTTAATTGAAAACAAAATTCTACAAAGTTTAAACTAATAGTCATTATCAGAAAGCTTCATTCATTCATTCATTCGCTCATTCTGTCACTTACTCACGAAGCATTCTTCAGTGCTCAACTATCTTTGTGCAGGTGCTGGGCATGCTTTGTGAGGGCCCCCTTGCTTCTCCACAAGGGACCTCTGTAATCTATTTCCTGTCCTTTGGGGCTGCTGACCGCACCAGTGTGGGGGAGAGCCTTGGTGGGGGGCAAAGTTGCTCTGAGACAGGAAATGGAAACAAGCAGAACTCAGGTCATTCTTAAAATGCATCAACACCTCATTTGTCTTTACTCCAGGAATGGGATGAATTTCTTAGGAAATAAAGCTTGCCTGTTTAAGCTCTAGAATACGCCTCTGAAGGTTTTCTCAACCCCCTGCACCACCAGAGAGGCCCTAAATATTTTTTAAATTGAGATGACATTAGAATCTTCTCCATTGGGTTGCCACCATAGGGCACCCAGCACCAAATCACCCATAGTCTACCACCATAGTCCACTGTGCTTCCTTCCCTCTTTCTTACTCCTTCCCCAACCCCTCTCCCCTCTAGATGCTTCATTTCTATAGTCAGCTTTCAAGGGCTGGCTTTTAAGCTTGTCTTTATCTAACCCTTAGTTTGGTCTCTCTATATTCCACATATTAGTGATATCATTTGGTATTTATCTTTCTCCTTCTGACTTATTGCACCTAGCATTATCCTTTCTAACTCTATCCATGTTGCTGCAAATTCATGAGTTTATCTTTTTTGATTGCTCAGTAAAATTCCACTGTGTATGCATATCCATCAGTTCTAGTGGGTATGTATTAAGGATGGAAAGGACAGAGAACACACACAATAATTAAATTGTATTTTTGAAGTGATACTTCAATAAGTTTTTTTAAAGACTTCTCTTTTAGATGCTGATGTAAGAAGCCCATAAGACTGGGAAGGGGAATGTTGAGTTCCAGAGCTGGGGGTAGAATTTTTAAAAGGGTAATGGGAGGGCCTCCCTGGTGGCACAGGCAGTTGAGCACAGCGTTGTGAAGCTGTCCGCAGCCTCTGCAGGCTGGGTTTGATCCTGGCCAGCCAGGGAGATAGCCACATGGCACGGCAGACCTCTCCTCTCTCGCCCACTGCTCCCTTCAGCAGTATGTTTGGTCTGTCTGCCAGTTCTGTTCCCCAATCTGTCTCTGGTGGGTCCTCTCACCCTCCTGCACATCTGGCTTGTACCCTGGTTTTTGTATGCATGAATAAATAAATCTTTTTTTAAAAAAAAATGTGATGGGAGGTTTCACTGAAAAGGTATAACTGAATAGAAACCTGCAGGAGGAAATCAGCAAGACAGGTGAACTCTACAAGAAACACAGTCCCAGGAAAGGCATCACTGGGGCCAAGCTCTGAAGTGAGAGGTGGCTGAGACTTTCAAGTGTGGCAGGAATGTAATAGCACGGGAACAGTGGGAGGGTGTTGAGAGATAATCCTCCATGGTTTGTGTTTGTGCACGCCTTGAGAACTTTTGTTCCATATCACCTCTTCAAGAATATTTGTATTGTGAACAGCCTCAGAAGAGAGAGCTAGTGTCTTCCTTCAGGGCAGAGGGCTGTTTTATTTGCTGTCTGGTATAGTAGAGGCAGCGTCTTCAGCCAGATCAAAGGTTGGGCAAGTTTGCTTATAATAGCCCATTGTGGAAACTGGAGTTTCCTAAGTTCAGGGCTATGATACACAGCCTCTGCTGTCCCCATGACATTTGGGGGGCAAGGGGAAACCAAAAGCTTAACATTCATGCTAGTTGTTGTGCTTTGAGTAACACATCTAGAATCTGGTGTTTTCTGAAACTGTGGCAGGCTAACTTGGTTGTTACAAGTAGAATGAAATCTCACACCCTTCCAACTTCTTGACAGATATGAGACCCACGACAAAGAATCACGAATGAATTGGAATTCAGAGGGCATTCTTAAAAAACAGAACATTCACAAGGAACACTCCCTTGGCAGGTACAAACACACAGCTAGCCCCTACCTTGGAGGGAAATAACTCCAGGACCAGAGGTGGTTCAGCGAGGTGCAGCAGGAGGAAGCAGACAAGGTTGTGGGGAGGCCTGTTTGCAGCAGCTGCTACCCACAGGTGGTGCAAGATAACTTGGGAAAGACTTTAGTCCTTGGGGAAGGACAGAAGAAAGCAGGATTTAGAGGAGGATATGAGAGGACCTGGCCCAGAGTCAGTGTTTCAACAATGAAGAACCCAGCTTCTGATGAACCCTGCCCAACCCAGCACCCTAACCCCCATTCTTGGATCCTAGCCCACGCTGTGCAGACAAAAGAACTTGCCACCCAAACTTCCCTGTGGCCATCCCTTCCAGACTAAAACTGGGAAGAAAAGATAGAGTTTCCCAGGACTGCCCCCCTGCATCCTATCTCTCCTCAACCTTAAAACTCATCACCAGGCCCACTTGGGCTTCCGAGATTCCCAGGGGCCGGGTAGATGAGGGCTCAGCTTCCCTGGCCAGCCTGTTTCCGCTATTGTGTCTGCCATTGACGGGGAAGGAAACACCTGGATGTGAGAGAAGCAGTCTGGTGGGGGCAACGAGGGAGGGAAGCATTGTTCCCCGAGGCAGGGAGCCTGGGAGGAATCTAATGAGGCTCAAAAACAGACTGGGAGTCCCGGGGCCAGATGGAGATGCATGCAGCCTGGCATTCACGTCTACCACGTTATCTGAGCTTGGCCCTGGTGAGAGGTTGGGCAGTAAAGTGGCTAAGCAGATCGATCACATTTGATACTGGGCTGCCTGGTGCCAAGGCTCTCTGTTGCCATGGCGACTTGGGCTATTTGCTTAAAACATTTGTGCCTCAGCTGCTCTGTTTTTAAAGGAGCCCTTATAGCACATACTTCACAGTAACCCCGTGAGGGGACTAAATGAGACGAAATTCAAAATCCACTTAGAACTGAAATAAGAAATGGAACCGACATGCCTATGCCTGTACATCCTTAGCAGTCAGATGGAATCTCTGGCAGCTCTCTCTCTTCCTCCCGGCTTTCCTACCCACTTTCCCACTCTTGGGTTTGTGCACTTTGTTCTGCTCACTGGGATGCCTGTCACCTCACCTCTGCATACAAACCTTCTCCCAGGCTCAGGTGCCATCTTCTGCCAAGTCCTCCCTGATCCTGCACCTAATGGCGTTTCCCCTGTGCACTCACCTTGCCTCCCTGAGGGCAGGCACACCAAAATTTCCATGTTAGTTACTCACAGTGTCTCAACCCCTCAATCACGTGGTCAGCTTCTCAAGAATGGAGATCTGGTCAGACCCTGGCCGCCCATGCGGAAGATGGTCAATCCAGATCAGCACGACAATCACCAACTTCCTCAGATGATGTCCCCAAAAGGGAGCACCCTAGGAACCCAGAAGATTCTCTCTGAGTCCTGTGCCTTGCTACCTACTCTGAAATCTTTGGCAAGATGCTGTATCTCTCTAAACCTCAGTCTTCTGACCTATGAAATGGGCATTAAGATTCATTCACCTTACCTCCAATTGCTCCTGAGAATCTAATGGGAGAGTGAGTATACTCTGCAGCACTAGGCATGTTTGATTAGTCCTATTATTATTGGCATTTATAGGATATAGAGAAGAAAGAGATTTCTCACAGAGTCCCATGTCCTTCCCGCTTTTGAAAATGAATTATCTTAATTTGGCAGTGACTCTAGTGGCCCCCACATCAAGATAACCCTCCTCAGAAGGACGAGCCTTGGGTTCCAAAGAGCTAGGGGTGTCTCGCCGCCCCCTGCCCCCACGGGCTCCCCTTCCAGCATCCCTCCACATGTTCTGCTCAGATCTACCTCTCCCAACTCCCTCCCAGTCCCAGCCAGCACAGTACCTTAGCTTGACTGCTGCAGCTCAGCTCCCAGATTAGATCTTCATAGTCCTGCCCAGGGGGGCGATCAGTCCCAAGAACCCAGGGTCTTAGAGAAGCTGAGCAGCTGTGCCGTCTCCGGATCTGCAGAGAAAAGCCTAGTGTCACATTGGCCTGTCCCCTCCTCTTCCTTTCCCTTCCCCATGGCTCTCAAAGCTCCTCCCAGAACACATCCTGCCATGAGGTTGCTTTCTAAAGAAGCATCTGTGGTCATCTATGGTCACTGGAGTTTCTTTATTCCAACCAGGCAGGAGGGGCACCTCCATAGGGCCCCTCTCTGGTGCTAATTTGCTAATTTCCTAGTAATGCTGGGAGACTTGACCTCTCTCCTGAACTCACCAACTGTCCCTGCCCCCCACCCTGACATTGTCAGCCAGAGTGCTCTCAAGCACCTCCAACTCAATGTGTAAAAAATACGCTCATCATTTCCCCTTCTGCACCCACTTCTCTGTTTTTTACCTCAGAAGCAAAAACCTGGTCTTCATGCTCAACACCTCCCTTTCATTCTGGTTACACTAACCAGCACCAAGTCCTCTCAATATCTCACGAATCAACCCCCTTTTTTCCATCTGCACACCATCACTGCTTCATGAAGCCACTGATGTCTTTCTCCTGAAGTACTGCATCTGTCTGACATCTACCTCTAATCTTCCCTCCTCTTCTCAGTCAAAGCTCTCATTCTGATGGTGAAACACAATTCTGATAATATTATACTTGTTACAACCTTCAGTGCCTCCCTATTTCCTTCAAGAAAATGACCAAAATCCTTGGAGTGACTTGCAAGGCCCTTCTTGATCTAGTACTTCCTTACTCTCCAAACTCAGGCTGTGTTTCCTCACTCTAACCCCTCTCTGACATTCTCAACAATCACAGTTCCTCTACAATCCTCTACAATCCTGTGTAGGATTCTTTTCCCAACGCTTCTTCTGGCTCACCCCTAGTTATCCTCTGTTCAACAGAGAAGAGCAAAAAACAAGTCAGGGAAGCAGGAGGAAAAGTGGAGTGTTTCCAAAGCTGGGGGCAGAGAGAGAGTCCAGGAGAAGAGGACAGCCAAGAGCATCAAAGATAGCTTCTTAGAGAAGTTGAGCAGCTGTGCCGTCTCCAGACTGCAGCTGTGCCATTCCAGCCTTGCCTTTTTTCTCAATGCAACTAGCAGACAGCAGAACCAGGGAAGCAGTACTGTGAAAGCACATCACCGCCAAATGACACGTTTGCTATTTTGTCAGTCTTTCTTCTACTTACATTTTGAAGCCAAACAATTATGAAGAACTTCAAGGCATTTTTAGACCTTTGAAATGCTCACAGATCCTAAGTTCTCCTCCTGCCTGACCTAATCGGTCTGGATATAGACAGATCGCTGGTGACACTATTTGAACACCTGGATTCAGCTGTACCTGAAGCCCTGACCCCTTGATCTACTAAAGTTGTTCCACTATGTGACCCAATACACTCCCTCCTTTTTGATAAAGCCTGTTTGTGTTGGGTTTCTGTCACTTGTCACAGAAGGAGAAGTTGCTGGTCTTTTACCACAACAGCTTGAATGGTTTTGTTCCATTCCTTATTTTTATAGAACAGACCACTTGAAAACAGAAAAATCCATAAATTTAGATCATTTACTCTATGATTCTGTCTCCTTCTTTCTCCCATAAGTACTTTTCTGACTCCCTCCCCATCCTGCCTCTTGTGACTTGAATCACATTCTATCTTGCATCTTTGTATGAGAGTTCTCAGGTCACATGTCTGCTTCGTCCCCCACTCCACCCACAATAAGTTCTGGGAAAGGAGAGGCTAGATCTTATAATCCACCCATCACAGGGTAACAAAATATTAAGAGAATACTTGGCTTGTTAAACGAAGCAAATGAATGAATGGTTGAGTGAATGGGTGAATGAAATGAGTAATTCCAGGACATAATAAAGGGACCGAAAACTCAGCCTGTACAGGTTCAGGACTCAGCAGCAGTCGAGCAATGTGGCCAGTGAGGGCAGCTCCCTATCTTTATCAGTTCTGGTCTAACTGAATCGGAAATCACAAGCTGACACTGACTTTGCGGGGCTGCATTGCTGCTCCTCTTATCAGCTGCTATCTTGTAACTACATGGACTGTGGTACAACTGGTGACTGTGGACAGCCCTAGAGCTGTCCCCTGCAAGGAGGAACTAAAGGGCCTTCATTTTTGAAGACGCATAGTGAATGGCCAGCCAGAACAGGAGAGAGCCAGGGGGAGGTAGACAGCAGAAAGACGGAGGCCCCCCTACCTACCCACTGTTCACCACCCATATCATCACCCAGGCGGGGCAGCACTGCTTCTTTGACCCATTCCAGCCGTGCCTTCTTTCTCAATGCTGTCCCTAGAGTTTGTTTAATCTGGGTTTTCCAGGCTGTGCTGTTGTCAGGTTTCTCATCTGCACCATTTCCCAGAAACAGCCCCTGTCCTCCCCTCCTTCAGCAAGGCCATATGGGCCATCAGCATCAGAACTGAGAGTTAGGGCTTTATTTATTTATTTATTTTCTAGAACTGTGAGGTTATTTTATTGAATATATATAGCCAGTGGTGCAAGAACAAGTATTTTTATTTTTTTTTAAATTTTTTTTAGGGCTGTCTATATTTATTGCTCTAGTTCCCACATTACCTGGTCAGTCAGTGGAAGCAAAGTTACCCTCCAGAGACCAATGCCCAAGATTCAGAAGCAGAAGTCTCATCTATTGCCACCCACCTCTATCAACCAGCCAGGGGACTTTACTCCCTGCTGAAGCCGTTGGTGCAGCCATGATAGCTTCTTCTCAGACTCCTCCATCTCAGCCTAGGCCTCTCACCTGTCAACTACAAAGTAACTAACTTTCCTGCAGACAATCTGTTATTTCTGTTCCAGTTCCTCCTCTTTCCTATAGACTCTTTTATTCAGAAAAATACCTTTTATCCATTTTTTTGTCTCTTACAAGGCAATTTGGATCTTTAAACAAAAATTAAACCTTCTTGCAATTGTGGTGTCAGAAGGGACCCATGTTGGGGGCTGGAGGACCAGAACACTGAAGTCAGGTAAGAATGATTTGCTTTAGATATGAGAAACCCAGGTTACCTGTACCCTCATTCCAGTGCCACTTTCTGTGGGAGTTGCCTTTAGGATTATCTAACATCTCACGGAGAGTTCATCATCTCTTAGAGTTTTCTATGAAATCCATTCAGAAAATCTTTTTTTTTTTTTTAAAGATTTATTTATTTATACAAGCACTGGGTACAGTCAGAAGTGCGGGAGGGTGAGAGAATTCACCAGAGCCAGAGCGGGGAGCAGAGCAGGCAGAAGGACTGAAGTACACTGCTGAGGGGAGCAGCGGGCGGCAGGAGAGGTCTGCGCGCCACGTGGGACCCTCCTCCGGTGGCTGGGGAGCAGCCGGGGATCGAACCGGTGCTGCAGAGGCTGCGGGCAGCTTCGCAACCCAGCGCTCAACCACTGCGCCACCGGGGAGGCCCTCCACTCAGAAAATCTTAACAAGCAACATAGATTTTGCAGATTGTATCGGGGAGATGGTAAAAGAGTGTACATTATACATCTCTTAACAAACTATTTAAAAACCCTCCACGGATATTTCTCAAGTTCATGTGTCCCTCCTCTCTGCCAAGTAACTCTGGAGTGTTTTTTTTCTTTTCTTTGATCTCCATAAGTGACCCTAACTCACTAACTCCTAGCTCCTCCTACCTAGAATTTTTCACTGACATCTAGTAACCCTCCTGGAGTTGCCTTCAGAACACTTCAGCTCCATTCTAATGCTTACCTCCTTTTTCTACCCCAAACTCATTAACAACATCCAAAAAACAAATGGTTCTCTGGCTGCTAGAACCCTCCAATTACAAAAATGGTAGACTAGAGTTTAAGGTTCATATTCCAAGAGGCAGGACTTGAACCAGGAGATGCCCAGTGCAGGGTGTTGCAGGGAAGACATGCAGGCTGAGCCAGGCCGGTCCCCAGTCATGCTCCTTAGCTCTCAACTCCCCTGCAGAAGGCCAAGGCTGTGGCACGGCTGGTACCCACCTGTGGGGCTCCTCTGCTTCCAATGAACCCCCTCAGCCCTCACACCCATGGCCCAGGGAAGCAGGGGCAGCAGAACAATGTCAAGGACTTCCCAGGCACTTCCTCAGGGTAAGCACTTGCAGATGAGGACTAATAGGACGATAGGTAATGACAGAGGTTAAGAGCAGAAAATGAAGGAAAGAGGTACCACAAGATCAGAAACTGGCATCACAAGACCAGAAACCGGAGGTGGTGGTAGAAATGATTAACGTAGTCATTAAACTAGTGATAAGAATGAAAGCCCTCAGGGACAACTGCACAGCAAGTATCAGATGGTATAGGAGTACCCCAAGGTGCAGACCAGAGGTGGGGATAAGGAGATTGAAGGCCATTGTAGAGAACCTACCTAGTCACACCCTAGAAGTAATTTATCCAACAACAATTAACAATTCCACAAAGGAATGAGCCCCTCCCAAAGAGAAAAACCCTGTATCAGTACAATTTCTGCACTAGCAAGATGCAGCTCTCCTCCCAAGGCTGTCTGCCTGTGGCTGTGCAGGCCTCTCTTTTAACAAACCTGTCCCTTCCAGGGGCCGCTCTTTCTGCCCACTTGTGTCGATGCAAGCATCTTTTACTTTCCTTTCCCTTTTTATAATACATCTGCCCTTTTGGATAACTAAACATCTCCACCTTGTGGGGAGACTGCCTCACAAGGCCAGAACCTGGACGTGGGGCAAAAAGGGGGGCTGTGCCACGGAAAAGGGAGTTCTGGAGAAACTTTTCTCAGAGGTAACCCAAGAACCCAGCTTTCTGACCCCAACACCTCCCCAAACCGACATTGTAAAAGGCAGCAGATTTATGCTTTCTATCCATCCACTTACCCTTTCAGCCATTCTAATTTGGGGGGAGGAGGAAGGGAGTTTACTTTTCAATATCATCAACTTTAAAAAAAAATTAGCATTTAAAAAAATTTCTCGAGCCACTCATAAATACCTTGTCATTGTAAAACTCCTCAACATATAGCAGCATACAGAGTTAAAGGGAGCGCTCCCCCACCCCTTTCCAGTTTTTTTCT